AAGTATAATTATGATTTAACCCACAGTCGGACTAATGATCCTACCCTAAGGCCACAACCAAACAAGGAACAGGAGTTAAGGTATTTCACAATAGTCCTAAGTCCATTAAAGCATACTTATACATAAATATGTAGCCACATATGATTTTGATAAAAAAAACATAAATCTAAAATAGTTTAAAAGGGTTTTTAAAATGGTTTTAACAATATTTAAGTATAAGAAATTCTTTTGGTTTGTTTGTCTCCACATGTAAATGAATAGCACAACTATATTGTTTTTTACTTGTATTCTCCCCCTAAAAGCATTTAAAAAGTAAATTGTAGAGGTATGAACTCACCTTTTGTGAGTGATTTGATTGAATGTTCGATATAGGATGAATAGTTCCCGAGTGAAGTCTCGAAGCACAAATGAGTCCTATTTAGTATATTATGATATATATATATATATATATATATATATATATATATATATATATATATATATATATATATGGATACATTTAGTGTTCATAATCATAAAGGTGTAAGAAACACTTACCAAAGAAGTGTTAGAATCGAAAATGGAAGGCTGGAAGGAGTTCATGGCCAGAAGAAGGGTTCACGGCCTAAATCTGGGTGTTCACGGCCCAATGATCTTGGAGATTGATGAAGATTCAAGTGTTTTTTTTGGAGGTTAGTGTGTTCTTGGTGGAGTGATGAAGATGCAAGTGTTCACGGTTGAAAGTTCTTGAAGGAAAGCATAACACTTGAAGATCCTTGCAATATCCTAAGAAGATTCAAAGGAGAGTGGATGGTATTTGAGAGTAAATGGAGTTTTGTGGTTGAAGATCTTGAGTAAATGGTGTTTTGTGCTTACGATTTTACTTTATGTTTCAGGTACTTTCGGTTCCAAGGGGAGGAGCTGGGGTTGACTGCATCGCATAGACCATATGGATTCTGTTTATAGGACATACTCTGATTTTCATGATGTTTGACATGTTTATTTTATTGGGTTGTATGAACAATGTTTTGGAATACTGTTTTTTAGTTAAATCGAAAATGAAATTTTTGGGTCATAATTTGTGGATGTTACAAATTTTCATTTCTAAACTTAAAGTCATTGGGATACCCAATGATTTTAAAACATCTCTCAATAGTATGTCCCTTCAGACCATATTGTTTGCATTGTAATTTTTAATTACCACGAGACTTGTTCCTTTTCTGATCATTAGATTTACCAACAAAGGTAGTAGCGTGAGACTTTGTGGATGGTTGAGCAATAGAACCACCCTTCTGATGTGATTCCTTATGAGATACAATATTAAAAGCAATTTTAACAGATGGAAGAGGTTCCATAAGCAAGATATGGCTCTTAACTTGGTTAAATGTATTTTCTAAGCCAAATAAAAATTGCATAAGTTTTATTAATTTTGAATGATTTTTAAACTGAGTAGCGGCTTCACATGTATATCCAGTCAAATTAACAAGACCATCAAGGTCTTTACACAAAGCATCAAGCTTACTGTGATAGTCTGATACATAAAAACCACATTGAGTATGAGATTTGATTTTTTTTATGAATATTAAAAATCAAAGAGCCATCAACTTTGTGAAAAGTATCACTCAGTTCAGACAAAATATCATACGCAATTTCAGCAGAAGCATGATTAGCATATAAGGACTCAGTAATAGACCCAAAAATCCAAGAACAAACAACAACATTAACATGTTTCCAATTATAGATTTTAACTTCATTTTTAAATAATTTAGGAAAGGCTTTGTCAACAAAACTTAGTTTATTTCTACCTTTGAAAGCCCTAGTCATAGAACTTCGCCATATTCTAAAAATTTTAGTACGAGAAAACTTGAAGCTAGTGATAGAAACAACACCATTATCAAATGGATGCAAGAACAAAAGATTAATGCAATCTATATGACAACCAGACCGAGTTTGTTCGACAAAACCGGTGTTTGTACTAAACCAGACTCTAACCAACAGTCCTTTGTTATCAATAAATTGTAGAAATCATAACACGCCAAAACAAATACACAAACTATATGAAGAAAGCCTATGAAAAATAACTTGAACAAACAAGAAGATAAGTGTGCGAAACTTACAATATTCCATTAACACGCTCTGTGTTACAGCAAAGTAGTTGATCGTTAGATCTATCACAATCGATTGAACCTAACATTGAAACGGATACGACATTTAAATGCCCAAGAATCACCAATGTTATAGAGCTCGTTTGCACATGTTTAGTGTTGGCCGAACATAGTTTCGCATTGGTCGTTAAATTAACAAGGTTAACCTAGGCATTTACAACTAAGCCCTTTGTTCACTGCTAAATCGATGACGAAGAACTACCATAGATGACAACCACCAAACAAGAAATCGATTGTAGCCAACGAAGACAATCATAAAAAACATAGAGAAAACAAAGATCAGAATATAAAACCGATCAATGCAACAAGAAAACACGGAAAAAAAAAAAATCAAACTTAGTGAACAAACCTTAGATGAACCGAAACAATCCAAATCCAGATCTCGAGACAAAAGAAAAGACAAACTACAAACGAGATGAAACTCGCTCTGATACCATGTTCAAAAACTCAAAGTAATCACAACATGAACAAATCTTTTTATTTATGAAAAAATAAGACTCGGTTGGTTTTCATTTACTTACAAAAGGAAAACTCACTACAAAATACACTCTCACTCGAACACAAAATCAATACAAGAAAATCATAACACCATTACAACTTTAGGAATCACGATGCATGCAAAGATTACAGATTGAAACCCTAAAGTTGAGAAAAACGAGAGAAACTTCAGACGCATAGATGAGTTGTGATGAATCACAACTACCATCCAACATGATAGCATGTTATATACTCCGGATCCACATGTTCAAGTATGGTTTAACCCAGAACAAATCCTGGAATATAACCAGTGTGTTTATGTAATTTCTATAATAGCGGGCCGCAGTCCCTATAGAAATGAAAACTAACAAAAACCACCCTGCATAATAAATAACTCACAGCCACTGCTTAACAAATTATATTTTTATCCTAAATATAGAAAAACCTTTCAATGTTAATCTTGCAATAAACTCGTAATATTTTTAACATGGGTACTATTTGAGATTCATGACGAAAATGTCAAAATTGTTGGCCCCACTTTTTATGTATACTCTTGTTAATTACGTTGAATTAAGTTATTCTAACTTCATATCGCACCATTTTGACATAATTTGACCGTCTGGCAGATAAAGATGTTTCGAACGCTTTCCCAAAATGTATCTCTTTTGATGGTGTCTTAGGTTGTCGAAATCCAAGCATTTGCTATGCTTGTTGTTGTTGTGGTTGGAAAAGTTGTTCGTATATTAAAAACTATTTGATAAGGTTGTTGGAAAAAAATGTATGACTTGTTGGAAAAGTGGTTGTTGTCATGGAAGCTTTGGAGGAAATTCATAAGACCACTTTGTAGTATATCTAAGCTCGGATATTGATATGACACGTTGTCTAAGGAAAATGATCCATCAAAATTTTGGTTCGGCTTGTTGATGGAACGTTGGGATTTCGTTCCACGGTCGAGGAAGAAAAAAATAGTACAATGAAATGATAGATTCATTGGCAAATTTTATTTAAAAAAAATTGATCTTTTTTATTCTCACTTTGGAGTCCTTCAACTGCTAGTCAAATCATGAAATTCTATCAACCCTCCCTATTTCCCTTTCGTGGTAAAACACAATGACAACCTAACGACCGTTACACAACACCCGAAGGTATTGTTCACAATCGTGGTTCGGATGCCACTTGGCCACGACGAGCTCTCGTGCTCAAAATGTCCAAAGGTGTTAGAAGTAGAGGTTGAGTAGGAAGCCCAATAGTCTTAATTTGTATATTTATATACATCCCTTTTATGTTAATGAGAAAGGTGGCAATTAGAGCCTAAACATTTTGATGATCTATATCGAAGTTTGAGATGCCAATGAAAAATGTGATGAAGTTCAGGATAAGTGTCGGTGATATTAATAGTAATTCGAAGTCCAATATTAAGAAATACGATTTGCCATTAACTATCTAACTCGATAAGAAGGTGGAGGTGGAGCTGAAAATTGGAAGCTTCAAACTAAAAAAAATAACGAATTAGTGTTGTTTGTAGAGGGAGTAAGGTGTAATTTAGCAACGAGGTTATTTTTAGTTCAAAATTGGTTCATATGTTGAATAAATTCGTGGGGTTTTAGTGTTTTACATTTATACATAGTTACCGTTAATAATAATGATAGATTTTATTAACATTGATTCCAACACCAAAAATAGTTATGCCGTTTAATTTCAATAATTATTATTACAAATATTCTTTTTAACACCAAAGCGTTGATAACCCGCATTCATTTGAAAGTCAAAACAAATTTAATGCATAATTATACATGAAAAAAACTCAGAATTCTTTTTTATTTTAATGATCCCAAAATAAATAAATATATATTTTTTAATTATTTTCAATCTAAATTTATCCATTCATGTACCAATAGAATCACATTACATGATTATACTTATATTCATTAGATTATCTTATTTTATCAGATAATTTATAAATAAAATCGCATCATTATCATTATAAATACATATATTGCTATTCAAGGAGGAAGCTTTTTTGTACTTCTATTTTCTCCATGTACGTTAACTACTTTTATTTGGTCTCTTAAACCCAGTTTAACTAAAAGACCTAACGTAATAAAATAAAATAAAAAGTCTATTTTTATTTATGTTAAAATTTTATAATAAACAACCATACTTTTATCACTAATTTGTATTATGTTTATATAGTAAGAAAAAACATATATATATTAAAGCAAAAACTTTAGAAGAACATCAAGAAATCAAAATTAAAATAGGAAATTAAAATCAAGTTTTCATTCTCTGAGAAAAATGGAATCACAGAGATCCAAATTGTACAATTGGAGCAAAAGATCTCTAACCTTTAAGTTTCAACAACCCATAATTATTGGTTATCTATGACGGCGACCCCGTAACCCGCGGCGACGTCACCGGAAACAGAGGTAAGAGCTGCGGCTCCGGCGTCCCTCGTGGTGTCGCCGCCCTAGGCGATGGGTGCAGGTAAAACCCCTTCTCCGCAATTGCCCTATCTTCCTCCGATGAATTCCCGATTGACGGAGACGATTTGTTAAATGGGTCTTCGATCAACGGCGTCACTGGACTGAGAACAAGCGACGGAAAATCCAGAATGCTCGGGGAAAGTATTTCATGGAATCGCGGCGATGACCCGTGCCCGAATTTAGGAACTGAATTCGGGTTTATCATCAACCCGTTTTTCAAGCTGTTCCGACGCTCGTAGAGCTTGAACCCTTGTTTCTTCTGTTGACCCGTTTTAATCGGAGGTATTGATACCTTCGCCGGAGCTGGATCTGGTTGTTGGGTTGGCTTCGATGAAGCATTTTTCGCGGTTTCCGAGGATCCTGTTAGCATCTGAACTACTTGTTTGAAGTTATTGGTGTCAGCTTGGACGAAAGTGGTTGGGTATGGATTGGGTTCGGATCTCGAAACGGGTTTCGGAGTTAATGGTGGGGTTTGTGTTGTGGCACCACCTCCACCGCCACCGCCGCCGCAGCCGGCATGTCCATTGCTGTTGCTACTGCTGTCGTGGCTGTTCGGAGAGTTAGCCGGAGATGGGTTTTCTCTCTCATGTAATCTTGAAGTGATTTCCATGGATGAACTGCTTTACAATTTTCTCTCGAACTTCAATTTCTAGAGAGAGAAAATTTTCTGGTGGTATTTTCTTTGTTTATCACTTTAAAGCCACACTTCCATCTTGCTTCTCTTTCACTTTATTATATAACCTTCTGTCAACTTAAGGTTCAATTTACACTTTACCCGCATCATGTTATGTCGAATGACAAATAAGTTCCTCAACATTTGATTATATATTTCTTTTGCTCTTTGTTTCAAGAATCACGTGTTTGATCACTCCTCTAGTGATAAACGTGTAGACTAGAACTCGATTTTTTTGATCCATTTTCATATGACTACGATGTATTTAAACGTGTAGACTAGAACTCGAATTTTTTTTATCCATTTTCATATGACTACGATTTATTTTCCTTATATGTTATTTTACAGGAAATTCATTAAACTAACTATTGTAGAAAAAATATTGGAGAACATAACTAATTTTTTTATATTTTTGAAAAATAACCCTTGACTCCGGAATATCGTATTTCGGAGTACTTATGGACATTCCGAAGATGATGGTGGTTGAGAGTAGTTTTGTTTGCAATCTAACACTTGTATGTTCTTGATTTGAAAAGTGCATTTCGAAGTTTACTCTGTAACGTACAGATATTCCATAATGTATAGATATTCCAGACTAATATTCTAGACTAATATTTTGTACTAAAGCTTGTGGATACTAAAAAAAACGAGTCTATATAAAAAAAACTTTTAGAATACCTATTTTTAAAATAAGACAATGGATACAGATCGAGGGATCTATGCACTATCTTGCTTCAGACAACACATGCATTAATGTATATATGAACAGTGATATCAACTTTTATAGGCTAATTTCGTTGATTACTTCCAAGTCCATATTACACAATAATCAAGTACAACTATCTTTTCGAATTCCTAAATCAAGTATATCTATATAGATTTTTGACGATAATGATGTTAAATATTTTTTTAGTTTTGTTAGTAGTATGACTCTTAATATAATATAATTGTTTGTTTAATAATGTTAGGGAAAGTGTTTTGAATCAATTTTTAGGGGAAATCGCTAAGGTGGCAATGGATATTTCGGTGATGGAAGTAACCAAATTTATAATTTATTACATATGATATTGAATCATGTTCCTTTTTATAATGAGCTTGTAGAAGCGGGTGATTTTAGGAATAAAGGTAAGGTTGTTGTTGATGGTGCTTTATCATTTAATGTTGAAGAATCTGCAAATGATTAGACAAAACTAATGATGTTGGTTGATCATGGTAATATAATTCCACATGGAGACTTAGTTGAACAATTCAAGAGCTTCACTAAATTTGTTGCGGGTGAAATTGAATTTGAAGAGGGGTAAACTAATCCCTGACAAGCCTAAAAACCCCAACACCCCAACATGAAAAGTACTCATATTGTTTTATTAGATTTTCAAGAAACACAAACCATTCATTGGGGGATACATGAACCTTTACCGTTGCCGAATTATCACAACAAAAACGTAAAGGCATTGTAGCCCATAATTATACTTTTTAAGTGAAGTTGTTTCAATTGTTCAAAATCAAAGAATATGTTAAACTTAACAAGGGATTAAAATATGTTACTGACGACTTCCAAATAAGATGATCAAATCTACAAAGTTTGAAGTTTTTTGCTTTGTGAAAATTTGTAAATAGAAGCTAAGTGTGGCACATATTTTTTTGACAGGAACTACTACGAGATATATAATGACCCAAAAACATCAACCTTTATGTCATAAGATGTATTTGGCGTAAATACACCCATGGGCGAACTCAAGTAGTGCAACGATAGTGTTTTTAGCTAGGTAATATATACACCTTTCTACATACTCAATTAGAACGGGAAATTTACAACTCTTGAGCAAAAAAGTAGTGAAGAAAAGTTATAGTTCACTTCGAGTCGGTCGAATTGATATAAAGATCATCGAAAATGAAGTTCATATGAGAATGTTGTCATTTGAAGTTGTGATCAAAGTATGTTGCTATTTCAAGATAGTCAACGAAAGTTTAAACCAACGGCCAACTTTTGAGTCACCGCGACATGGTAGTATACTTACCACGACATGGTATGATGTGAATCACCTAGACACATGTCAAATGCTGAGGGACACGTGGTAAGAGAAGGTGATATATGGCGAAAGTGGAATCTATTAATTAGCACGACGTGCTGAACATATGGTCATGACGTGGCACACATCAGAGTATAAATATGAGAGTTTTGGTATCATTATAGAGTTTTGGCGCACACACTCGGGAGAGTGTATAAGGAGGTGTTTCTTGGAAATCATTACCATTTTAACATACTGGTTTATGGTAGTACATGATACGATTTACGGGATCAACAGAGGTATATTTTATCTCGTTTTACGTTCGTACGTTTATGTAATTAGTTATAGAGGGTTTCTATACCTGAGTATGTGCTACGAGATTTCGTGAAGTGGTGTTATTATGAGCCTGATGATCAATTGTATAAGTTGAGCAGTAAAGGTTATATACCCTAATTTATCGAGATTTGTCGATTGAGTTAACAACTTGCGGGGTTAAGAGGTTAGTAAATTGTATTTGAAAATGTTACTAGTTAGGTGATAAATAGTTACCGAGTCTGGTTAGTGATCAGGTAAATGATCATTGTTGTAGATATAGTGATGAGATTAGACAATTTCTAATGAACTTGATATATTGTCCAAACAAGGTTGGACAAGTGATAAATGGGAAAGCAATGCTGAGGTGGAGGCCAAAATAGTAGTTAGGCTTTACTAACTAACCAAGTGAGTAACCTTACCTCTTTTTAGATTACATTTATCTAGATATGTGATAATTATTGTTCATATTCAAAATGGAGTATAATATTTGAATTGTTACCTATTAATATTATATGAGTTGAGTAATTGTGATAATTGAGAATTATAGTTGTCTGATGCTATATGAGTCATTAAATAAGATAATTGAGAATTATAATATTTTATTACTATTTGAGTTAATAAGTGAGTATGATTGAGATACACAGTGAAGTATAATGTTCAAATGAGTACATTCAAAATATAAAATATAGTATTAAAAGATGAATTATTAAACTACTATGTTTGAGACATGTAATTGCATATTACTATATGAGTTAAGGAGTGAGAATTACGAAGATAAATAGTCGAGTATTGTTATACGAGTTAATGAGTTGGTATAGTTGTAATATATAGATCCAGAGAGGTATAGAGGGAGAGAAAGAGAGAGGGAAGGAGAGAGAGAGAGAGAGAGAGAGAGAGAGAGAGAGAAAGAGAGAGAGAGAGAGAGAGAGAGAGAGAGATGAAGATAGAGATACAAAGATAAAAAAAGAGATGGAGATAGGGATGAAGATAGAGATGCAAAGATAATAAGAGCAATGGAAATAAAGATCCAAAGTGTGTGTGTGTGTGTGTGTATGTGTGTGTGACAGACATGGAGAAAGATACAGAGATAGAAGGAAATATGGAGATAGATATGCAGAGAATGAGAGAGATATAGTGAAAGAAAGAATGAAAGATAGTGATATAGAGATGAAAGATAGAGGTAGAAATACTGAAAGAGGTAAAGAGATAACGATGTAGAAAGAGATTGAGTATGAATAATGAGTCATAGAGTGTAAGTGAAAGGAAAGAGAAAGAGAGTAACTGCATAATGACATAAATAGAATAAAGTATAAGTATAGAGATAAAGAGATACAGAGGATGAGTGTTAAACCGTTGTCGCGCATGATTTAAGTAAATAAAATTTCAATAGTTGAATACACTAAAGGATATCACAAGGAAGCAGAGTTGAACAATCAGGGACACAACCTACACAACTGAATGGTCAATGTCTTTTTGCGTAAGGCATATACTACTCATTAAACAGAAAAATATGAAAAAGAGGGGGTTTTGATTAAAAACTAAAAATAAAATTTTTAGTGAAATTAACTAAATGAAATTCAATAATAAAAAAAAGAATTCAGTTCTGCTGCAACTTTCCTAATCATAGAATCAACTCAGATCTGGTTATTCAAAATGCGTTCTATCTAAACTACACCTTAAAAAAACTAATAGGCTCGAGTATAATCTTTTTTACCTAGTTAAATTAACCATTAACCGAAACAAGATCTTTAATTAACCCTAACTTTTTACTAACCATTTACATAAGCTCTTAATTTAGATTAAAAAAGTTGCATTAAGATATGTGTAAAACTTCCAGTAATATCCAACACTTCTCATAAGCTTGGAAAAAGAAAGGTATGAAATATCAGTTTATTGTATCACTCAGAAAATCAAAGAATTTAAAATTTTCAAAAAATCAACCATTAACCAACATTTTTTACAAAAAGAGTCATTGTTTCAAAAGAATTATTTCAAAATCAAAGTTTTCCCAAGACCAAGTGACATAAAACAGGAAGATGCACACAATCACGCCTTTGTTTTCTGTAACAACCCGTTATTTCAAGTCAGTAAAAATCGAGTTCTGCAACCTCTTTGAGAAAGGAATTAGAATATCATCGAAAAATGAAGTATTCAAAAACTCTATTTGGAGTACACTATGTGGTAGTTATCGTCTTAAGGTTTCCAAACATATAAATAACACAAAAATCCGAGTTATAACGAAGAAGTTATGATCATTCTAAGTTTTCCGACAAAAACCGGCAATACGAAGTTGCGTAAAAATGCAAAGTTTCAATAAAACACTTTCCGACCTTAGGTGTCTAAATGAAAGTCGTAGATATCGTTAAACTACAAACATGCATAAAAAGAACGCTCAAATCGGACATCGTATGAATAAGTTATGAATTTTTAAAGAAATTCCTTAATCACGTCATTTTAATAAATAAATAATAAAAATAATTCCGGAATTTTCCAACGGAATCTAAATGAAAGTTGTAGATCGTAGTCTCACCTTCACAGGGATATAAAGAACGTCAAAAACAGAGTTCGTATGAAGGAGATATGAATTTTCGAAGTTTGATAAATAATTTATAT